CATAAAAAATCAACCCCAAACTTTTCAATCTTATTTTTCAATGTGAAAATGTGAGTATAAATAGGTCTGTGTGTGAATGAATGTGTGTTGCTGTCTATCTGGATAAATTTATTCTTGCATGTGTGTGTGTGTGAGTTATTTATGTGTGTATTTATATGCTAGTGTGTGAGTGACCTGCTTTAGGGACTTGTAGCAGACAGCTGTTGTAGTGAAATGCTAACCACGCTAAATGCTAATGTGTTTAATGGTTAAAGGCCATGCGAGCTGACAGTCCTCTGAACCTGACACGACAACACACACACACACACACACACACCCTGTTAGACCCTCACTGGAATCCTGATGTGAGAGATGTGAAACACGACCCCACACACACTTGAGTTGAGAAGCAAGAAATTCAACCACTTCACAAGAATTTCAGCTAAAGTACATAAACATGGATTTGACTGAACTAGTTGAGAAGATTGATGTGTACTTACAGATTATGTAGAAGTCTCTTCTGCTCACCAAGGCTGCATTTATACAGTATATAAAATACAGTAAAAACACTAATCATGTGAAATAGTAATGTAATTAAAAATAGGTGTTTTTAATTTTAATATATATTAAAATGTAATTTATTCCTGTGATCAAAGCTGAATTTTCAGCATCATTACTCCAGTCTTCAGTGTCACTGATTGCCATATTTAATTATAATTATAATAATTCAAATATTTGAATACATATATAAATATATATTTTAAAAATATTGTGAATACATTTAAAAATAAAGATATAGATAGATAGATAGATAGATAGATAGATAGATAGATAGATAGATAGCAGTATCTACTTATTACATTGCAACTGAAAGTCCAAGTCAACAAAATAAATAACATTTTTGATTATTGAGAAATAAACTTAAAACTAGTAGTTAATCAGTTGCCTGATCAGTTTAGAGGCCTAAAATGTTTGACCGCAGAACGCCACCATTGACCAATCAGAATCAAGTATTACACCCATATATTGGTGTGTGTGTGTGTGTGTGCGTGTTTGTGTTTAAGGCCAAGATTCAGTCAGTGACACTGACCTTTTGCTCTCTGAAGGAGGAGCTTGTGTGTGTGTGTGTGTGTGAGTGTGTGTTTAGAGAGAAGTTGGTTCTCATGGTCTGACGTCCCTTGAGACACTGTGACAGATGTGACGTCTGTCCACCCTCTCTCTCTCTCTCTCTCTCTCTCACACACACACACACACACACAGCAATCCTAAACTGTCTGTGTTCATGTGCGCATCCTTCTTATACACGTCCATTTGTTTGCCCTGTGCATGTGTGTTTTCACATGTGTTTGCATGCACCTGCATGTGTGTGCACACATGTCTGCGTTGCTTGCGTACAGTAAGTGAGGCTGGGTGAAACGGCACAGATAAACGCAGCGGGTGTGTTTGTGGGCGTGAGCGGCGATGCTAAAGAGCACAGCCTCAGGTAATCTCTTATAACGGGTGCAGGTTTGAGCCTGAGGCGGTCACACTCCAGCTAATGACACGCTACGATCACAAAACACCTCCACAGGATGAAGAGATTAGCATCTGAGAGCTTCTCAAAGAAGAACAATGAAACATGACATGAACCGCTCCTCTGACACCGCATGTTTTCTGCCTGGTTCACTATTAATCACTGTTTGTTGTTTAATTAGGGAATTATCGGTTTATGGAATTGTTCGTTGCTTAAGGAGATCTTTTTCTGCACCATTTACTTGGAAGATTGGCGATAACCAAAAAAAGCACTTTCCTAAACAAAGAGAGTGTTTATTTAACCCAGTTTAATTTGGAAACACTTCTGACTACTAAAAGAAAGACAAATGCGAGTTATGTTTTATGAAGTTTTTTTGTTAAAATATTGTTCCTATGTCCTGTTATAATTCTAATCATAGAGTTTGGTATAAAAAATGTGGATATGCTAACACACCACTGCTTTTTTTAAATACAGAATTTAGTTTTAATATAGAAAAATAAAAAGAAGTAAATTGTTTTCTGAATTAAAATGCCAAATACTGATGATTTGGTTAAGCTCCTCCACAAATAAATAAAGTAGAAAAACACAATAAATAATTAAATAAACAAATAATTTAAATCAAACACATGTACTAAAATATGTACACATGTATAATAACACACACACACACACATATATATATACATACATACATTAAATATGTAAGTACATGTTTATAAATATATATTAATATATGTATTTAAATTTGACATGAAAATTATTTCAAATTAAATTTGTATTTCATTTGTTTATAAAAGTATATTTTACAAAAACTAAATATAAAAACCAAAAAAGGCTCTAAAAAATGTATGTAGGCCTAGTCAAATAAATTAAACAGACACAACCAGTTCTAATGTTCTATTATAACCTATTCTTTTAAATGAAAATAATTTATTCACTTTTTTCCCCCTTACACTAGGGACCTGAAAATTTCCCCTAACTGAAGAATCACCCGTATATCATAGCGAGAGAGAGAGAGAGAGAGAGTATTAGTTTGATAATGTTCCCTCTTAAGTCCAACAATTCATCACTCTTAAAAAAACAAGCACACACACTTTTCCCTGAATTTTTCCTCACACACACCTTGCCGTTCACACGCCTCCCAGTCTCGCCCTCTTGCTCAGACCTGTCGATCGAAACTGCCTCTCTCAGCAGTGTGTGTGTGTGTGTGTGTGTGTGTGTGTACCCCACACTGCTGGCACTCGCTCTTATTCCCACTCTCACATGATCATGAGGTGTACTTCCAAATGGACACACCTCACTGCACTATTAAATGTTCTCTCACACACACACACACACACACACACACACACACACACACACACACACACGACCTTAAATAACATATGCATTAAACACTTTAATTTCAAAAGGCACCAAAATCACAAAAATATCTGACGTACAAATTACATTCTATGTAAATACATTGTACATTATAATTACAATATCAACACATTGCACATTTAATTATTACTGGTATGTGGACAACTTAGTCTAATTGAAAACTAACCAAATGTGCACCGCAATAATAATAATGACTAGAATGAAGGTAATATGCAATACAGGGATCCTAACAAATGTACACTTAAAGGAATAGTTCACCCAAAAATGAAGCTTTGCTGAAAATGTGCTCACCCTCAGGTCATCCCAGATGTAGATGAGTTTGTTTCTTCATCAGATTTGGAGAAATGTAGCATTGCATCACTTGCTCAGCAGTGGATGCTCTGCAGTGAATGGGTGCCGTCAGAATGAGAGTCCAAACAGCTGATAAAAACATCACAATAATCCACAAGTAATCCACACCACTCCAGATCATCAATTAACATCTTGTGAAGCCAAAAGCTGCGTGTTTGTAAGAAACAAATGCATCATTAAGACATTTTAACTTCAAAACTCAGCTTGAGGCCAAAATGTGAGGCCATAATCCATAATAATGCTTCCTCCAGGGAAAGGTTCATCCTCTTTTGTCCTCTTACATCAAAATCCACCCACATATTTGTTTAGAATTGTTTTGGACTGTTTCCACTTGTAAACGGTGCTTGATCGGTGCAGATTTCTATCCTGATTCAGATGAGACGACTTTTTAATGGGAAAAAAAGACTCATATTTTAACTGGAAGAAATGGTTTGAAATTAAAATCATCTTAATGATGGACTTGTTTCTTACAAACATGCAGCGTTTCACTTCACAACCTGATGGACTGGAGTGGTGTGGATTATTGTGATGTTTTTATCAGCTGTTTGGACTCTCATTCTGACGGCACCCATTCTGCGCATCTCCAAGCAAACAAAGCGGTGTATCGTTTATGAATGAACGTGCGTTTTTAAATGAATCTAGTGAGTCAATGATTCAATTACCCATTCATAAAGACAGTCACTTGCTTCGTTCCTGAATGAATCAGCCGTTCAAACGAATCAATTGAATGAATGATTCCGAGATAAAATCAGTGATTGCCGCCACCTGCTGGCAGTTTTATTTTTATTTTTAAAGTGTCATTTCAGTTATTTAAATCATTTCAATCAAACAATAGTTCTAAATTTTATATTTAAAACCTTAATCTCACAACATTGCTATGAGTTTTATGAATCCATGCCACCTCTGAGCCTCTGTAAATGTCTGTAAATGTACCTACATGCCACTTTTGTGTTCTTCTGTGCCACCGTTGTAGTGGAAACTAATTTTGTTAACATAGATTTCTTTTGATTGGTAACTTATTATTCTTATTCTACCTGTTCTTATTCTATTTTTTTAATTAGAAATTTTGGAAAAGCTTATAAATATAGAATTTTTGAATTTGACATAATATGACATACTTTTATTAAAATGAGAAAAAATGCCATTACAAAAAAGCCCCTGTAAATCACTTTAAGGAGTCAAATATTAGCTTATAATGGGAAGGCTCATTTTTGTTATTGATCAGAAGGTGCTCGTGAATTTTTGACAGTGCTCCAGCACAAGTGCTCCTGAAAAGAAGTGTAAGCGTAGAGCCCTGAAATGTTCAGCAAATGTAAATTTTTAGGCGAACTACTCCTTGAAGTAATTCTGTCTTTGAATCAACTGGTGCATCTTTCGTAAAAATAAATGCTACTTGGTTTGATATTTTGCCTAATGCAATGACATTCAGACATTTTTAAATAATTTTTGTGGCCGCTGTACAGAATTAAGAAGTCTGTTTGTGATATTCCTTAATGCGAAACACTGCAAGGCAATAAACAAACATGAAAACGAAACGAGAAATGCATGCCTGCATTACAACAGCAAAAACCTGATTATCCAATAACAAAATTGACTGCATGACAGCAATCAGTTTTTATTCTGACACCATCGCCCTCTAGTGTCTGACCTACAACAGGACAATCTGTGCGTTTGTTACAGCACTGGATAAATAACGCTCTTCATTGATGGACAACATGAACTTTGACTTCACTGCACAATATTTCACAAAGCTCATTGTATTATATGCAGTGTTCAGACCATAATATCACTGATGAATCTAAGAGCAAGAGCTTATATGAGTGAAAAGTTTAAAGTGCCGACAGCTCTTTATAGTCCAGTTATATATCATAGCTTTTGGCGTATGATGTAGTTCTGACCGGTTAAATCTTGTTGAGTTCTGGTGTGTCAGTCGTGGACCGGCACCGGCGGGTTTGTACAGGCGGCGCTTCTGGTACGTGAGCCAGTGGATCCGGACGGATCAGGAACCTGCAGAACACAAAGAGCACTTTGAGTGATTCATGTTTTAGAGGGTTTACTCTGACAATGTGATTCTTGACACAAATGTTTGTGTGTCTGCATGTCTGTGTGCATCAGGTTTTGCTGACTTTAAGAGGGACAAATGCCACCGCAAAGTTGCTTAAACCTGACGCACACCCGCAAACACACATATAAATGTGACCAACTGCCCCTATAAAAACAGTAAAACCTGGAATGGTCTACATTTGGGGGATTTTTTGGGTGGTCTTCCTGAGAAAAACAGATGCATGACTTAAATGTAAAAATAAAATAATTTTGCCATTTTTATTAGTTTTGGGGTTTTCTTTAATTTATTTTTATTTCAGTTGTTGTAGTTGTAGTTTAGTACTTAAACATATTTCAGTTAGTAGCCAAATCAACATTTCTAATTTTTACATTTTAATATTTATGTTTATGTCAGTGTTATTTTATTATTGAGATATTATAGTTTTTGTTATTACTAATTTTTAGTTTTTCTATTTATAATTTTATTTGGAGAGTTTTAGTAATTTTATTGTGTGTTTCTGTCATTTTCAGTAGTTTTTGTCTTTTAAATGTCTATAGTTTTTTTTCAGTTTTTATTTCAGTTTTAGTAGTACAAGTTAAACTAAATTAAAATGAGAAATGTTGCCTTGGCAACTAGCTGAAAAATGTTTTATTTTATATATATTTTATTTCAAGTAATGTTTTTTTAAATTTAATTTTAGTTTTCTTTGGTGATACTGACAGTTAGTTTTAGTTAACCATAATAACTCTGGTTTATGTGTAAAATATTTTTTATTCCACATTATTTTAATGACAAAAAATGACTTTAATATAGTTTTAGCAACCAAAAACTATACTGTTATCATGATAAAGTAGCCAAAACAAGTATTTGAATATTTCTAAATACTGTTCTCTTTTTAAGATATCTATGGTTTTATTCAGTTAGTGCCTACAATTAGTTTAGGAATAGCACCAGTTAAAGAAATAAATGTGTGTATATGTGTATCTGTCAGGATGTGCTACATACACAACATCATTGAGCTGCAGCAGCGTGTCGGGGGCGGGGTTTATCAGCACATATGAGATGGAGTTCTGCTGGTCATTCAACTCATCTGCAACAGAGATTGGTGGATACATCTGTCACTCAACAATATGGGCATGGTTAAAGTTCCATATGGAAAGATGAAGCAAATTAATATCTAGATAAATAACTTTATGCTACAATTTGTTATATGCAATGTAGCCTGAAATACAATTCAGAAACACTGACTGAGAGTTATAATGAATTAAAATAGTTCATTGAAATCTAAATATGCCACAAAATCAAATCATGACTCAGGCATTTAGCACATATGCTTGAATCTGGCTTGCATCATATTCTCCTTATAATTTCATGTCTTAACTTCTTTATAACTCTCAAAACATGTGGATAGAATACCATAAAAAGAATAAATAAGCCCACGGAGCAAACTATTCATGGCAACACTATAGTAGAGGGTGTTTACCTTGCAAATACCCCAAATTAACTCGGTTCATTACATCACTGGCTGTTAGATTTGTGACATCCTCTATATGAGATGAAAGTTAGAATGAAAAAGAGGAAGAGAGAAATATTTCAAATCAAAATTACTATGTGGAAGTATAATGTCTGATAAAACTAAAAAAGGTTCTTCTGACCAAGAATGTAATAACATTCAGGATTCAACATAATCAGTGTTCACAACCCTTTTTAATTCCATAATCTGATATAAATTTTCAAGTTAAATGTGATATGAGAGAAATGTAGGACAGGAGTTGATTTTATCCGTAAGGAATTTGTGAAAAGAGGAGGGTTATGGTGGTTACAGCCTCCTAACCACATTGAATCAAACATGATTTGGGCAGATTTTCCAGTTTTGTTCCACAAAACGAGTTACTTTACTTAAGCATAAACATATTATACATATGAATATTATTAATGAGGCAAGGGGTGTGTTTACTGTATCCCGCCGTGTGCAGGCCCAAGTGCTGCATGCGGTTTCTGACCAGTTCCGTAAGCTCCTCCCTTTCCGAGCGGCGTAACATGCCCATACGCTGCTGGATGGAGCTGAGGGAGGAGTCGCTCCTCTTCACGCTCCGCCTACTGAGACGCCTCGTCCAGTACATGCTCTTCTTTCTCAGGAGCGGGTGCTCTGATTGGTCACTGCTGGAGGAGCTCCGGGTGAGGATCTTTGACTCCTCCCCCTTCTCCCTGGTGTCGTTTAACCTTTCAATGCTGACGGAACCTTGAAACTGGAGGCGACAAGTATTGATCGGCTGCAGGTGTGAATTTGCTCACGACATCAGCAAGACAAAAATCATGTGAGCAAATAGGATACATACCCACTACATAGAACCATAGATAGAACAAACGATGGATGGATGGATGGATAGATAGAACAAACGATGGATGGATGGATGGATAGATAGATAGATAGATAGACAGCCAGACAGCCAGACAGAGAGACGGACGGACGGACAGACAGACAGACAGACAGACAGACAGACAGATAGACAGATAGATAGATAGATAGACAGGTAGACAGGTAGACAGACAGATAGATAGACGGACAGGAGCGGGTGCTCTGATTGGTCACTGCTGGAGGAGCTCCGGGTGAGGATCTTTGACTCCTCCCCCTTCTCCCTGGTGTCGTTTAACCTTTCAATGCTGACGGAACCTTGAAACTGGAGGCGACAAGTATTGATCAGCTGCAGGTGTGAATTTGCTCACGACATCAGCAAGACAAAAATCATGTGAGCAAATAGGATACATACCCACTACATAGAACCATAGATAGAACAAACGATGGATGGATGGATGGATAGATAGAACAAACGATGGATGGATGGATGGATAGATAGATAGATAGATAGACAGCCAGACAGAGAGACGGACGGACGGACAGACAGACAGACAGATAGATAGACGGACAGATGAACGGACAGACAGACAGAAAGATAGACAGAGACAGATAGATAGATAGATAGATAGACAGACAGACAGATAGACAGATAGATAGATAGATAGACAGGTAGACAGGTAGACAGACAGATAGATAGACGGACAGACGAACGGACAGACAGACAGACAGGACAGAAAGATAGACAGAGACAGATAGATAGATAGATAGATAGACAGACAGACAGATCGACAGACAGACAGGTAGACAGACAGATAGATAGATAGACGGATGGACAGACAGACAGACAGAGACAGACAGATAGATAGATAGATAGACGGATGGACAGACAGACAGAGACAGACAGATAGATAGATAGACGGATGGACAGACAGACAGACAGAGACAGACAGATAGATAGATAGATAGATTGATAGATAGACGGATGGACAGACAGACAGACAGACAGACAGACAGACAGAGACAGACAGATAGATGTATACCTCAGGTGATGCGTGTGATTCTGTGCGGTAGATTCCGATGGGAATCTCTGAACTAGACGAGCAGAACTTCTGGAAGAGTCTCCCGTACGTGCGGATCCAGAGATCAGCCTCGCATACGTGCATCTACACACACAGGAACATGTTCATAAACAAACACTGACAGATCACAACTCACATCTAAACACATACACGCCGTGTGTTGAACTCACAGCGCACAGGTACCCTGATCCCGGCGTGGTGTCCAATCCCAGCAGCAATCTGGCTATTGGGATCATGTAGTCCTTCACAAAACACTCATGTACAAAACAAACCACAAAACCAAAATCAATATTACTAATGCATCTCTCTGCATAGCCAAACATCCAGATATGTTAAACAGACAAAAAGATCTTTCAAAAGATTTTTATTTCAAATAAATGCTGTTCTTTAGAACTTTGTATTCACCAAAGAATCCCAAAACACAGTTTCCACAAAAATGTGAAGCAGCACAACTGTTTTAAACACTGATAATAATCAGAAATATTTCTTGAGCAGCAAATCAGCATATTAGAATGATTTCTGAAATATCATGTGACACTGAAGACTGGAATAATGATGCTGAAAATTCAGCTTTGCAACACAGGAATAAATGACATTTTACAATATATTCACATAGAAAAGTTATTTTTTTATTTCACAATATTACTGTTTTTACTGTATTTTTAATCAAATAAATGCCGCCTTAGTGAGCAGAAGAGACTTCCTTCAAAATTTTTTGAATGGTATTATACTTGAGTAAGTACCAAATACATCGGCGAAGTCATGGCCTAATGGTTAGAGAGTCGGACTTGTAACTCAAAGGTTGCGGGTTCAAGTCTCGTACCGGCAGGAATTGTAGCTCCCCAGGTGCTGCAGCTAAACTGCCCACTGCTCCGTGTGTGTGTTCACTGCTGTGTGTGTGCACTTTGGATGGGATAAATGCAGAGCACTAATTTCCGAGTATGGAAATTGCCACATGTTGCATCACTTTCAAATGCATAAAATGACTCGTAACTTACTTGTAACTGTAATGTTTAATTCCTGAGTACAAGAGGGTGATGTTACTGAGTTTATTAGGGATAATCCAAATTATTCCTCTTTAAAAGGTACACACACACTATATTTACCTGGTACAGGAGTGTGTCCAGCATGCTGATGCTGAAGACTCGACCAGCAGCAAACGGAAGTCGAAACATGAAGGCAAGATTCGAGCCTTTGTCACGTTCCTTCTGTCGATCGAACACACACATTTTACAATAATACAAAACTACAGTATTCAGTACTTAAATCTCTCCATGTCTTACCTTCTCGAGTTTGGACAGAGCGAGGGAGTAACAGTCCTTCGCTCTGAACTGCATGAATCTCATGTTTGACGGGTGAGTCAGTTCTGTGATTATACTGAGACTTGGAAACAACCTGGAGAGACGCAGACAGAGAAAATGAGACAGTTATGAGATTTATATTTACATTGATGTACTTGGCAGATGCTTTTATTCAAAGCGACTTACAGTGCATTCAATGTAAACATTTTATTAGTTCATGCATTCCCAGGGAATCAGACCCATGACCTTTGGTGATACTGAAATGATAAATTACGCAAATTATGTCAATTTCTATTGGTAGATTGCAGGGCTTTGGTTCTAGTCTCACCTGAACATGGTCTGCACGTTGACGATGGTTTTAGCATCAGCCATATAGTCTTCCTCTGCACTCATAGTGCTTTCTTTATCCACCACCACTAGATTATCAGCATACAGAACACCACACTGCAATAGGCTGTCCAAACTGTCAATCACACAAACATCCAATCAGAGATATTCACATCTAGAGGGATATATTTGCACGATTAATCAAAATAAAATGAATTGAAAAAAAAAAATAATAATAATGATATGGCATAATGCAATTATGGAATCACAAAGGCTGTGATTTAAATATATGCACTGAAAATAATTATAATATAATTTTTTCCTTAAATAATTTTTTTTACAGTGAAATATTACAGAAGTAACATTTATTATATATTTAATAATAATGATATATATTATATAGTGACACTGATACACAATCACAAAATTTTGGCCAAATTGTGCAGTCCTTTTTTAAAATATAAAACACATTTTAAATCGCAATCACTATTTTATTAGAAAAATCGAAACGTTTTCACCAAATCGTGCTTGATTACACTGAATAAATATATGTACTATGCATTATTTTAAATTTTTATTTTAATTCTTAAATACAGTTTTTTTTATTTTACAGGGAAATACTACAATAGTAATATTTAAAATGTTTGTTTAATATTTTTAGTAATAATAATAATAATTATCATCATTATATTATTATAATTAATATTATTATTATTATAAAGTCATATTGATATATAATTGCAAACATTTTGGCCAAATTGTGCATCTCATTTCTATATATAAAGTAAATTTTTACTCGCAATTGCATTTTTTTTTCTACAAATCGTGCAGCCCTAGTCAAACAGAAGTTTTTTTGCTCTAACTGTACTTGTCAATGGTGCCACCCATATAATACACCATTGGGAAGCAGGATATGGCCTCAAGGAAGTGGTCATCGGGTCTGCAGGAAGTAGAAGAACATTAATAACACTATTGAAACACACATGAGGTTAATGTGTGTGTGTGTGTGTGTGTGTGTGTGTGTGCTTACAGGTTATCTAACAGCAGGACTATAGGGTTGAGCTCTCGTCTGGGTCTGTAATAGGCTCTTAAAGGCACTATGAAGTTGTAAAGGCCGTTTCCAGCCGTCTCAGCAGAAACAATGATCAGCTTGTTTTGGAAGCCATACGCTTTTGCGTCCTCAAAGGAAACATGCTCACAGCTCTAGAGGAGCAAATTTGAAATAAATATGACATGCTGATGTGGTCCAGTGAAATGCATATTATGCAAATGCAACATTTGGATGGCATTCGTAGCACATGGAGGCTGGTGCTCACCTGGTCAAGCCGTAAACAGCAGAAATGGGCCTTCTGGTGCAGGAGATGGCAAAGGGTTGGGGAGCTCCCAATGTATGGAGAGTTTGGGGGGTATCCTTTCACAAATCTGAGGAAATTAACATTAAAATACACCCTAAAAGGGTTAGTCTGCATAAAAATATCAACATTTACTGCATCTTCAGTGGAACACAAAAGGAGAAAATTTGATGAATGAGCACATGCTCTGATACAGGACCATACTGCGATTTATAATCTGATTTTGGAAAGAAAAATAAACTCCAGATTGGCATGTTTGTTGGGCTGCACAATTGGGCCAAACATTTTGTGATTATATATCAATATGTACAATAAATGTATTAATAATATGACTATAAAATAATAAAATAAAATTATATTTTAAATAAATAATTTAATTTAATTTAATTAAATGATTAAGTAATTATTACTCTTATACTGTAAAACATGTGTACTGCACAATTATTGTACAGTAAAATAAAATTATCATTTTATTGATATTATTATTTTATTGATATTATTATTAACACATAAAAAATATGAATATAACTAAATATATAATAATATTATATAAATATAACCACATACATTTTTTTTTACTATATAATAGAAATAGATTACTATAAAGAAACTATATAATAACAAGAAATATAACTATTATTATTATTATTACTCTTACTGTACTGTAAAATAAAATTTTGCAAATAAAAAAAGTGAATAAAATCTTTTATTTTTCTTATTTTATGATTACTATTATTACAAATTAAAATATTAAACAAAAATAGAAATATTACTATTATTATATTTTACTGTAAAATAATATAATTTATTTTATTTTATTTTATTTTAAATACAATTTTCTTTTACAATACCACCGTAAATTTTCAAAAAAATAATACTTACGGCTGTCTTAATTTCTTAATTTTTAAACATTAAACAATTTAAAATTAAATTTTTATTTTATTTACTCTTAATTGACAGCTGACAGCCAAACTGTCAACAATGGACAAAAAAGCACCACAAAATGACCCTTTTTTCCCTTTAGGTTTCAGAAATCATATTCATAAAAAAACCTTATACACTTACTTTGCTTGTGAAGTTGAGATAAATCATAAAGCCCCTTTGAATTTGCACAAATGTTTGAATTTACATTACATTTAGTCAAAGCGACTTACAAATGAGGACAATAAAAGCAGTCAAAACTAACAAAAGAAGCCCCAAAACATTACTGCTCTTGAGGAATGGGCCAAAATACCAGCAACTGTGTGTGAAAACCTTGTGAAGACTTACAGCAAACGTTTGACCTCTGTCATTGCCAACAAAGGGTATATTATAACAAAGTATTGAGATGAAATTTTGTTATTGACCAAATACTTATTTTCCACCATAATTTGCAAATAAATTCTTTAAAAATCCTACAATGTGATTTTCTGGATTTTTTTTCTCATTTTGTCTCTCATAGTTGAGGTATACCTATGATGAAAATTACAGGCCTCTCTCATCTTTTTAAGTGGGAGAACTTGCACAATTGGTGGCTGACTAAATATTTTTTTGCCCCGCTGTATATTATATACACACATAAACACACACACATATACACACACACACACAAATAAAAACAAGTAGATAGAATAGAAAAAATAGAAAGCTAGTGTTTTTTTTTTTTTATTAAAAAAAAGAAGATAAATATATATAAAGTAGAATTAAAATAGAATAGAAAGTGTTAGAGTTCAAATAAAGGGTCAAATAAAGGTGGAACAGACGTGTTTTTAGTGGTTTCTTGAAGATGGTTAAGGACTCAGCTGCTGGGATTGAGTTGGGCAGGTCATTCCACCAGGAGGGAACAGTTAATGAAAAAGTCAGTGAAAAGTGATTTTGTGCTTCTTTGAGATGGCACAATAATACGCCGTTCACTTGCAGAACGCAAGCTTCTAGAGGCACATAAGTCTGAAGTAATGAATTTAGGTAAAGGGGTGCAGAGCCAGTGGTGGTTTTGTAGGCAAACATTAATGCCTTGAATTTAATGCGAGCAGCTACTGGTAGCCAGTGCAAACTGATAAACAGAGGAGTGACATGCGTTCTTTTCGGCTCATTAAAGATTAATCTTGCAGCGGCATTTTGGATTAATTGTAAATTAATTTGAATTTGTGTTAGGAACTAAAAATTAACTTACTCATTAGCTGTTACATCTTCATCCGACTGTCCGGCCTCATCCTCTGATTGGTCGCTGATCAGATCACATGGCAGTAAGGAGGCGGAGTCAGCGAGCTCTAGAACGGGCGCTATGCTTGGGCGGCGGCTTCCTTGTTCGTTCTCCGGGGGCGGAGCCAGTTTTACGCCGCTCTCAGTGGGACTGGTGTTCTGAAAATCCATGGCAACCGTTCCTGAAAACAAACAATTAAACAGTTAGAACAAAGCCACTAGAAGGCAAGTCTGCAACCTTTAGCCAAAAAAGCGTAACGGCTAATGCTAACGCTTCCGGTTTGGGAAAGAAGACCAAGGGCATTTTTTTTGAATGGATGTCAATGGAGGAGAGGTTTCACTACGCTGAATAAACAGCTTTTTAGAGGAAACAAACAGCTCATCATTTAATGAATCGACAGCCTATCTGCTAATCTTCAACGTTTTACACTAATAAACAATACTTTTGGATTGAACTATTTTTAGAGTTTACCTTGGAAAAAAATGCTGTTTTATAAGAGAAGTCACTGACGTTTTGCGACAGGTGGGATTCAACTCTTAAATTCAATGGGGCTTAAATTCAATGAAGTCAAGGCTGAAATGTGATTGGTTATTAAGGCACACGTGATCCAATTAGCTGTTACGCTTTCTCCAATAGTAAGTAATAAAGACCCTCTCATCTCCCTATAGTAAGATCATCTCTGGTTATAACCAGACCTCTGACAACTTCCCGTCTCTCTTCTATCCATTCTCGCTCACCCATGCTAGCGATGATGCTATGAACAGGTAGGCCAGACGGGCTGTTTAAAATGTCACAGTGGCCCCGCCCCTTTCCCTGATCTTCTTCCTGTCTGAAGATGAAGGCAGAGTTTTCCTCCTTCGTGATGTTGATGTAGTAACAGGTGTCGCTGGCAGACATGATGTGGCGCGGCCCAGGGTTCAACAAGATGCTTTTGTTGTCTTCTCTCTTCACGCCGATCAGACACACGCCATACCTTTACACACAAACAGACCAAAATAGCCTCACAGCACAAGTTTAAACACATTTAATATGTTTCAAAGCGCGAATAAACCTACTTCTTGTGGGCGTGAAAGGCCGCGTAGGTGAAGCTTTTGCTGTTGTAGTCTCTGAAGAACATACTGTCGCCCAGACGGATATGATACACCTCATTACCCGAACAACGGCCGTACATCCTCTGCCACTGCTCTGGAGACTGCTGGCCCTCTCTGAAAGGGATTTAACACGTTATTGAACTATTTTTCCATTACATTTTCATTTAACAGGTCACAATGTCAAACTTAAATTAAGATTGCAATGCAAGTTTATTGGAACTTTATGGGATTTTTGAGCATGAAAAAGCACTAAAGTGATGGAAATTACTTAAATATTATTACTACATTATCGTTTAAAAGTTTTGTGTTGGTAAGATTTCATGTCGTAAGTTTCTTCTGCTCACCAAGGCTGGATTTATTTGATCAAAAAGTACAGTAAAATTGTGAAATATTATTACAATTTTAAATAACTGTTTTCTAATTTAATACATTTTCAAATGTAATTTATTCCTGTGATGCAAAGCTGAATTTTCAGCATCATTACTCCAGTCTTCAGTGTCACACGATCCTTCAGAAATCATTCAAATATGCTGATTTTCTGCTCAAAAAAACATTTCTTATAAATATCAAGCTTTATATTTTTGTGGAAACTTTATATTTTTTTCAGGTTTCTTTGATGAAAAAAAAAGTTGAAAAGGAATCTTTTTTAACATTATAAATGTTTTTACTGTCACTTTTGATCAATTTATTGCATTTTTGCAGAATAAAAGTCTGAATTTCTTAAAAAAAAAAAAAATCTTGACCCCAAACTTTTGAATGAAAGTGTGAAAAATGGTGTTACTGGAGATGCTGTACAATTAAGCAAACTAATTCTCAAAATAAAACTTGTTTTTTAACTAAAATAAAACTCAGTTTTTATAAAACAATAAAATAAATAAACAAAGAACAAAGAAAAAATCTTGACAATAAAACGGCATGTTGGGAAAAAAACATGGTAATGACTAAAGGGGTCATTTTGGGAAACCTGTCAATATTTTTCCATGTGGTGGCGCTAGTAGCACAGAAATAACACACTTCACTTTTAAGAGCACTAATAGAGTCGTGACTCACTGTCCTCGAGATGTGTGCACCAGTAGGGTGATCAGCGTAGAGGTGGCCGGACACAGACAGTTCAGAGCCAACATGGCGTATTTAAACTCTTCTTCACACACTACATGATCTGTGGAAAGAAACAGACAGTCTGCTCAGAGCCAAGATGGCTGACGCTTACTAAAATGAGTCATTCAAGGGCTTCAAATGAAAGTGAGAAGAAAATAAATACATAATGCAGAAAGAGTGAGCAATATTCTGAAAAAGAATGTGAAATAAAGGCAAATTAGTACCTGCAAATTTAACATGGAACTTGTTTTCAGGTTTGAGAATCTGGACGTAAAGAGGGCAGTTCGGAGCGAAGTCTTTCACAGCCCAAGCCCTCAGAATAGTCTGGTGATCCTGTCAATACATCAATACTAATCAATATCTGTTTATTAACTAATATATACATAATCTGAATGGATTGAATGTGTAAAACAAATGATACCATGTGACTGTAATATAATGTTAAATTAGTAATTTTATTTATTCATTTCTTGTAGTTTAATGTTGTGTGCACTTTATTTTTCTTTCTTTCTTTTTTCTTTTTTTTTATGGAAGCCCGTTTCCGCCACTGAATAACATTTTTAAATAAAGTTATTGCGACTTTTTATCTCACAATTCTGACTTTTTTTCACAGAATTGTGAGATATAAAGTAACAATTGCAATATAAATACTCACAATTATGACTTTGTAACTCGCAATTGCGAGTTTGTATCACGCAATTATGAGATAAAAAGTTGCAATTACCTTTTTTATTTTAATATATTTTAATTTTTAACTATGGGCTTCCATAGTTTTTTGTTGTGTATTCATGGGTTAAATCTGCTTTTGAATTTTAAATTAATGTTGTGTGCTTTTTCTGATTTTTTCGTTCTTTGTATTTATTTTTTCTGTTTTTTACAATTTTTTTATTGTGTATTGTTCGGTTAAATCTGCCTTTGAATTGTAGAATAATGTTGTTTGCACTTTCTTTCTTTCTTTAGTTTTTCAGTGTGTATTGTTTGGTTAAATCTGCCTTTGGGTTGTTTAATTGTGCTAAAAATCAATATTGAATATCAGATATTGGAGAAAAAAACTATTAATCAATAAATGACAAATAAATTAAGAATAATCTTATTCTAGGTTTTCAAGTCTGATATTGCAATCAGTATTACCAGAAAATATTGATGTGTAACCTCATCAATACACATGAGCAATAAATAAAAGATCACTGATTGGTGTGAACACTCACTGCCGCCATGCGATCAGCTTCATTCCTGCTGCTGAGAATGAAACAAGCTTCTGCATCGTCCATCCTACAGAACAAAAGCGACCAATCACAGGGCGATTAACGAAGCAGACCAATCACAGAAGCCAAAAATGTATGCTAGTCCACATTTTGCTCTCCTTCAAACAATGAGTAAACTGTATCGTACACACAAAAAAAGTGAGATAAATTGTGTGGGGACAGGCTTAAATACAAGTATATAAGAACACAGAATCAACTACTACTGCCCAGTGACCAGATTTTAATGAATATTATCCATTAGTTGTTGCAGCCCTGTGAAAATGGAAAATGCTGTGACTGATCAGAGAGGCTGTCACTCACTTGGCTCTCAGTAAATCCTGGTTTTTGAGGGCGGAGCCTTGAAGGTAGATGACCCTCTGTGACCAGAGAGGAATCTGCAAAATCCTCCTCACCTGGACGTCCACCTCACATGGACACAAGATGACCACGTAATAATCCTAAACATGCACAAACACAACATGTGATCAAACTAGAACTAAATACGCTAAACATCAGACAAGATGGACAGAAATGACATTCTGAACCTATTAAACACACAAAGACAGACAGAATGCACACCTGTGTGTGAGGATGAGCGTAGAATTCATTGAGAAAGTCCATGAGTAGGTCGATTTTGAGAGTACTGACACATAAGACCACATGTCTCTCTGTCTGAGCTCGATGTCTGCTGTAGTTTCCTCCAGATTTCTGCCTTTCCATCCACAGATAGATCAACTCCTCAAACTACAGCCAGAGAATAAACATGGTTACACATGGTAAAAACTAAAAATACTTCAAGATCATCGGCATAGTCAAGTCAGTATTTGAGTAGACAGACAGTAACATAAATAAATAAAGACAGTAAATAAAACAAGTTTTTGAATTAATTCAATTATTAATAAAAATACAAGAAAAAAATAAGAAAAATAATCTTGAAACGGCATGTGCTAAAAACGAGAATAAATAAAAAATTCAACTTTTAATGAAAAATAAATTCAATTATTAATGAAAACTTAAATTAAACAAATACAATAAAATGGCAATATTGACTTGAAAAAATCTCCAGTATCATGAAATTGGTGATTGGAGTGGTTTGCAAATACTTGTTTTCCTGAAACTACCGAAGCTTTATTTCTTGTTTGGTTTTTAAAAATAAAGGAAAAACACTTTGAAAGGTCATTGACTGTTTATAGTCAGGTCAGTAGTAGACAGAGAGTAAATAAAAAAACGAAATTACAAAAATAACAAATTCAATTATTAATAAAAACGCAATTAAATTAAACAAATACAATAAAAAAGAAAAAGAATCTTGACAAGAAAATGGCATGTTCTGAAAAAGTAAATAAAAAAACGTAACTTTTAATAAAAAATAAATTCAAACGTAATAAGAAAACACATTTAAAAATACAAAAACAATCTTTAAATTATTTTAAAATATGAAAATATAAGACGAGTAAAAAAATACTTCGATCATTTGCTGTGCTCATAGTCAAGTCAGTAATGATAGACAGACTGTAAATAAAAACAAATAATAAAAATAGTGAAATTAAATTAAACTAATGCAATTTAAAAACAAACAATGAAATTATAATCTTGACTTGAAAAGGTCTCCAGCAACCGGTTTGCAAATACTTACTAGAAAAACTAGAAAAGCTTTATTTCTTGTTTCATCAATGAAGGCGAGTGAATTTAAATAGTGTTTAATTAGCATTGTTTCGATCAATTTAAAAAAGTGCTGGATTCCTCTGACCTGTAGAGGCAGCACAACCAGGGCCACACAGATCATCACCACCACCAGCAGCTGAGACGGCCAGATCTGCGGCGTCACATCGCCGAAGCCCACCGTAGAGAAGGTCACGATGCAAAAATACAAAGCTTTGAAGAGAGACAGACTCTTCTTACCAGCTCGCTCTAAATGCTGGATACCACATGTGCTGAAAGAGACAGAAAGACTTCAGTGTAGCTGATGCGAGGCAGAGAAGAAGAAAGAACAGCTTTCGATAAAGAGTAGAGGTGGGCGATATACCTGTTGAAGTAATAAAATCGACAAAAATATAGCATTTATTGTGATTGTGCAAGATGCATGTAAGGAATCGGCTGGTCTTTGTTAAGCCCCACCCTCCTTAGATACTGTTGCTAGCCTTGCCAAGCTTTTCTGCTAGTGCTTGTACTGCTGCTGTCAAATATGGAGAGAAGCTATAAAACAAAATAAATTAAAATAAATAAATAATGTCAATCAATTCTTATTGCGTAAATAAAGCACAACTCATTTTAACAACTAAAAAATAATCAAATAATCTTGACAATAAAAGTATGTGTGCTAAAAGAGAAAAGAGATACATTTTTAATTTTAAATATTAATAAATTAAATAAAAATGAATAAAAAAAAAAAAATAATATTGACAATAAAATAATGTTCTGAAAGATACAGTACATAAAAAACTAAATTTTAATAAATGTTTTTTTAAATATTAATAAGCAAAATAAAATAAATTACATTAAATCAATTTAAAATAAAAATAATCTTGACAATAAAATAATGTGCTGAAAGTAAATGCAATTTTTAATAAAATAATTAATTCAGTTATTAATAAAAAAATTAATTAAACAAACACAATTTTAAAAATAATCTTGACAATAAAATTATGTGTGCTTAAAGAGAGTAAATGTAAAACTAAATTGTAATTAAAACAATGTATATTAAATATTAATATTAATAAAAAATACAATTACATTAAAAAACAATAATAACAAAATAAAATGGCATGTGCTGAAAACGTATATACAAATAAATAAATAAAGCTAATAAATTAGAAGTATGAAATCAACCTCGAATCACATCTGCATAACTGAAAATAAACCGCAGTTTGACGCTGATGGTTTGTCTCACCAGTTGATCTCGTTGGTCTGCGTGGTGCTGTTGCAGTTGACGCTGTAGAGAGAGGAGGTGTGGGTCGCTTACTGTGACACATCAATCAATAGGGGTATTTTACTGCGGCATGAGAAATGATTCACTAACTTTATTTAAATATTAATAAATATTCTCTAATACCAGAAAAAATGAGTCATGGTAATCATGTTCTATACGCCATTTTACACTCCTAAACATTAAAAGAACTGTTCATGAAAAACCTCAGATTTGCTGTTAATTTACTCACCTTCAAGGCCATCCAAGATGTAGGTGATATTTGTTCTTCAGTAGAACAGTAAAGAAGATTTTTAGCTGAAACCGTGGTCTTTACTGAGTCATAAAATGCAAGTCAATGGCTACTGCCACTTTGGGAGTCAAAAATGACATATACAAGCAAGACAAAATTGATACCCATGGCTACTGACAATTTATTGAGGTCTTATGAAGCAAAACAATCGGCCTGTGCAAGAAACTGAGCATTATTTACAATATTATTACCTGTAATCATGTGAGCCACAGACAAATGGTACAGATGTCTGGTTCGCGAACGAATCACCCTTTTGAACCGATTCTTTTTTTGTGAACTGGATTAATCAGTTCACCAAATCGTACTGAACCGTCTGAAACAGTTTGTGGCTTAAGCAGCACAGATCTACAAGTTACTAAATCAAAACTCACTTTCAGATGCCTGACAGTCACTCTGACTGGAAATGAACCAAAATAGCTGTGTTTTTGATCCTATGAAGAATGAACTGATTCAGCGCTCCAGTTCCTCCAACAGTCACTGAACTGAGGAATCAGTTCAACCCAGACTGAAGACCGATAAGCTGCTGATATGTGATTGTGCATGTGTGACTGTGAACCTAGCACTTGAATGAAGGGGTGAAATAAAATTTGTTATGGTTTCTCATTATTTATGTTAAAAAGGTGATCTGATGAAGACTAGTTTATTCACTTTATATAGTTTAGACATCTAAAACATCCATGTGTCACATAATTTGTTGAGTGCTTTAATAATATAATTGAGTATATGTTACATTTTTGCACGATTATGTAAACTAATTGGTGAATTTTAAATTAAAAATTTTTAATTTAAAATTTGAACAGGAGGTTACTTGAACCAGTTCATTGAAATGAATCAGATAAACAGGCTGTCTATCTATACTGATACTTCTTGATCTTAGTGCCGCTTTTGACACTATAGATCACTCTATTTTAATCACCCATTTAGAGACTGTCTTTGGAGTTTCTGATTCTGCATAGGAGCGGTTTAAGTCCTACCTCTCCGTTCGCAAGCAGTTTGTTGTGATGGGTGGTTGCAGGTCTAAGGTCGGTGTGGTGCAATCTGGTGTTCTCCAGGGATCAGTTTTTGTCCCTTTACTTTTTAGTATTTAAATTTTTCCCCTTGGCCAACTTTTAAGAACACTTCACTTTTATGCAGATGACACTCAGATCTATATACATTCAAAACCTGATGTCAATGTGGCTGTCTCTTTTCTTTCTCAATGTTTTACTGAGGTTAAAAAATGGATGTCTGAACATTTTCTCTGTCTAAACAGTGACAAGACTGAAATGATGCTTATTGGTTCACCTCACCAGCTGCGCAAAGCAGAGTCCGTAACCTTAAGTGTGGATGGTTTGCTTTACAGTTTCAAACTAAACTTTCTTGCACAGACCGATCTTTTCATTTGATAAGACAATATATTCCCAGGAGCGATGGGTATTAATTTTGTCTTGCCTGTATTTTCCTTTTTGACTCTCAAGTGACTGTAGTAGCAGACTTGTATTTCATGAATCACCATGGACCCCGGTTACTTTTCTTTACTGTTCTACTGAAGAAAAAAGTCACCTACATTTTAGATGGCTTGAGGGTGAGTAAATTAACAGTGCATTTTTATTTTTGGGTGCACTATTCCTTTAAGACAGTTCTGACCATGTGTGGCGGAGCTGGGCTGGATTGTCCGTCATGACTCGAATTATGTAAAGAACACATGTCAAAAGCTTCAGGCAGAAGTTAAATATTCGGATCCTTAAACCTGGAGGTGAAAGGTCAGTGCATTAACAGGCCATAAAATAGACATAAAGATAATAGGTTAAAAGGTACGAATAAAGGTTCAGAGGTAAATATGCACAGTTCAGGCAGACTTACTGGATCTTTGGTTTTTGATGAAGAAAAGTTTGAGTCTCTCTTTAAACGTGTTCTCATCCACATAAAACTCCACATGGACCCTGCAGGAAAAAAAACATATGTCCTATAACCTCCACCAATATCCAGTCAACAAATCACTGACTAAAATCACAACTGAATGATTGTGACATTAGGTCTGTTGGGAATTAAACTTGGTAAAATCGGAATATCGCATTAAAACATTTGCTAATAAAGCACCCATCCCATGTTTCCATCCCATGTGTTATAGAGAACAAAGTATCAGTAATAAAATAATAAAGAGCTGCTGCACCGGGGGAAGCCTCTTTTTCCCTACATAATAATTGCTTGTGCCTCAGAGCATGCAGATGAATGCTGCAATAAATGCCGCTGACGAAACGAATGACAAATTATGCTATCTTGCTTTCAGAGGTTAATGCCTGATGTTTGGGAATGCACTGAAGTGAGAAAATTATTCCAAATTATTTTGATGGCAGACTTTGGCTCAGGCATTTCAGAATGACTAAAACAACATTTGAGAAGATATGCAATGAAATTGCAGCAGTCCAGTTATCCAGACACATGATCTGTTGAGGCAAAGTCACATTTTGTTGCACATCCAGGAATTTATTCGATAAATGTGTTTCCATTTAAGTGTATGTTTTCTTAACAAAGAAAAAATCCATCTAATTAAGTTTTTTTATTTGTATTTTTAGATTTTATGTGCATCGTGCCATTTCCACCCAGTGTTCTATTATGTGACAACCCCAAACTTGCATAAAAATATGGTATGGAAACAACTATTGATACATATTTTTAAAGTGTGACTTAACTGACCCAATACTTTTTGGGGACACTGTAATAAATGTATTTACAAAGCACAACAAATCATGAGGTGAAAAACATAGTTTCAACCAACTATACATGCAATATATAGGCAGACAAATGGAGAGAAAATAAAAGTGGGAAAAGAAATGTTTGCTTTATCATGAAAGCTTTACATTGGTGAAGGTGGGTCTGCCAGCAGTGCTGCGTTATACAGTCAGTGTGGGTGAAAGTGTGTATTCGTGCATATGGGTAGTTGAAATACTTTTAGAAAGTCCTGAGGTGTGAAACGCTAAACTAATACTATTTTAAACAGCATTTTGTGAATTATTTTATAATTATCATCATGCATGCACATATTAGTACTATTTAACCCTCTCTCTCCCTCCTGTTCTCAGGAAATTACAGATAATAACCTGCTCAAGAGGCTATTTCTGTCGATCTGGAGAGATGTGGCCGTGTGCCCACACACACACGCACAATGCGACTTTTTCTTAACATTCAAGGCTTGCCAGAATCAAATAGCCAAGGACATATTTTTTTTGTTCTCTTGTTCAGCGTTTTAAAGAACAAATGCAAATATGACTAGATTTTTATATTTTCTGTGGTGCAAACTCAACACCAAAATCCTTGAACGTTCTGGTTGGTTGCCAAGGCATCACTATGTGGTTGCTAAGTGTTTTTAGCATGTTGCAGTGCAATTGCTTACTTTACAAATACTCAAATCGCACACTGTCTGATCAGATGCTACATTTAAATTGACTTCACTACCATTAAAAAGTATGTGCTATATAGAATATGGGTAATATGAATCAAATTCAGACATACCACATCTGCCATGTTGATATGGTCATGTGACTTACAGCATTAGTTGCTTCACTTCCCTGCCATTCACAAATCCTCTCCCGTGGTCTCATGGGATAGTAAGTGTCCATCGAATGCACACGTCAGAATCTCACCGGAAGTAGTAGGTCATCTGGGGGATTTTTCGCATACTCTTTTTCAAGTACTATAAATTAGGACATACTACTCGTGTTTTTCGCATACTATATATTAGGGAAGTATTCGATTTTGGACGCAGTGTCTGTCTAGGTGAAATGCACATCTGCATGCACCTTCTAATCTTTTTTTTTGTGACTAATACCTAATACTTTTTTTGTGACAACCTACCATGACTAATCTACCATTCTTATATTATTTCGCTCATTGTATTGTCTGCCAGGTTAAAGCTAAACAAACATTATTTCATTGTATCTGCTGGTCTTTTGGATGTAATTCTGACTGCTGGCCTTCAGTAAGACAGGTATAATGTTGCAGGTGAAGTAAATGGTAAAACTGGTCAATAAGCAGTGTTGGGTAGATTACTAACAAATTGTAGTCCCGAGGATGTACGGAGATCTGAGCTGAGAGGATCGTTATGGAAGTACATAATCTACAGCGGCATGGTTCAAAATAACCCGCCCACACGCTCTTGATTGCAGGCGCGCAAGTGTGTGCTTCCCTGCCAGAGTTCTGCTCGGTCTCTCTCTGTCGTGTATGTCTCTGCATTAGAATTTCAATGCACTTTAATTGTTTATTCATTTTACTAGCATCTCTTTGTTGAAAATAGGCATAAGCTGGATGTTTTTGACGTGCACAACAGCTGTGGCAAACCTACTGTTATATCCATTCTGTTAATGCATAAAGCTTATTAAACATACATGATTTTTGTATAGTGAATGATTGTCATCATAGCAACATGCCTCAAGTGTGCTTTTCTTTGTGATGGTGGAAAGTACAAATAATGTGCTTACAAAGAGAACTCTGAATGAAGGAGCAACTCAAACTCACCAAAAGATAATTTAAATATTTCAGTCAAATGAGCAATTTTTTTGGCTTATTCCCACTTTCCGGAGATCTGAGCTGAGAGGATCGTTATGGAAGTACATAATCTACAGCGGCATGGTTCAAAATAACCCGCCCACACGCTCTTGATTGCAGGCGCGCAAGTGTGTGCTTCCCTGCCAGAGTTCTGCTCGGTCTCTCTCTGTCGTGTATGTCTCTGCATTAGAATTTCAATGCACTTTAATTGTTTATTCATTTTACTAGCATCTCTTTGTTGAAAATAGGCATAAGCTGGATGTTTTTGACGTGCACAACAGCTGTGGCAAACCTACTGTTATATCCATTCTGTTAATGCATAAAGCTTATTAAACATACATGATTTTTGTATAGTGAATGATTGTCATCATAGCAACATGCCTCAAGTGTGTTTTTCTTTGTGATGGTGGAAAGTACAAATAATGTGCTTACAAAGAGAACTCTGAATGAAGGAGCAACTCAAACTCACCAAAAGATAATTGAAATATTTCAGTCAAATGAGCAATTTTTTTGGCTTATTCCCACTTTCCACCTTTCCGCAATGCCCACCCTCTCTCTCCCTCCTGTTCTCAGGAAATTACAGATAATAACCTGCTCAAGAGGCTATTTCTGTCGATCTGGAGAGATGTGGCCGTGTGCCCACACACACACGCACAATGCGACTTTTTCTTAACATTCAAGGCTTGCCAGAATCAAATAGCCAAGGACATATTTTTTTTGTTCTCTTGTTCAGCGTTTTAAAGAACAAATGCAAATATGACTAGATTTTTATATTTTCTGTGGTGCAAACTCAACACCAAAATCCTTGAACGTTCTGGTTGGTTGCCAAGGCATCACTATGTGGTTGCTAAGTGTTTTTAGCATGTTGCAGTGCAATTGCTTACTTTACAAATACTCAAATCGCACACTGTCTGATCAGATGCTACATTTAAATTGACTTCACTACCATTAAAAAGTATGTGCTATATAGAATATGGGTAATATGAATCAAATTCAGACATACCACATCTGCCATGTTGATATGGTCATGTGACTTACAGCATTAGTTGCTTCACTTCCCTGCCATTCACAAATCCTCTCCCGTGGTCTCATGGGATAGTAAGTGTCCATCGAATGCACACGTCAGAATCTCACCGGAAGTAGTAGGTCATCTGGGGGATTTTTCGCATACTCTTTTTCAAGTACTATAAATTAGGACATACTACTCGTGTTTTTCGCATACTATATATTAGGGAAGTATTCGATTTTGGACGCAGTGTCTGTCTAGGTGAAATGCACATCTGCATGCACCTTCTAATCTTTTTTTTTGTGACTAATACCTAATACTTTTTTTGTGACAACCTACCATGACTAATCTACCATTCTTATATTATTTCGCTCATTGTATTGTCTGCCAGGTTAAAGCTAAACAAACATTATTTCATTGTATCTGCTGGTCTTTTGGATGTAATTCTGACTGCTGGCCTTCAGTAAGACAGGTATAATGTTGCAGGTGAAGTAAATGGTAAAACTGGTCAATAAGCAGTGTTGGGTAGATTACTAACAAATTGTAGTCCATTACTGATTACAAATTACATGTAGTTTGTAATCTATTGGATTTATCCATATTATGTAATGCATTCTGATACTTTTTAATTACTTTTAGATTTATTTTGACCCATACTTGTAAGAAAATCTATTCCATTTGTTATCAACATCATGACATATGTATTAAACATTTCGTTACACCAGGGTTTCCCAAACTGGTTTCTGAATGAACTAGTGGCTGGTGTGTTCAGTTCCACAAACCTGGAAGACTTTCCAAATGTATATAAGCAGTAGAGTTTTTTTTAGAAAGGAACATTTTAGGTAGAAACAAAAGAATTAGGGTGGATCAATAAATCATGAATAAATTGTAATCATGTAGTGTACAAAAAGTAACTGTAATCTGATTATGTAATCATTTACACATACTTAATCCAGATTAATCAAAGCACTGGTAATAAACATCACTATGCATGTACCTGTCATCATGAAATGTCTGGTCTCCTAGCAACAGGTCTCGGAACCGGAAGTAGGTTTGAAGGGATGGAACCACAGATGCTCCAGCGGTCATCTCGAGGTCCTGCGCATTTAAGACCACCCCTCTGCCCCCACATCTTGGACTAACATTGAGAGAAAAGACACAGAGACATAGTGGCAAAGAGACTATTTGACATTTAAAAAAGTAAGCTAGTCTAAAGTGTCTTCTGAAGAAAAGCCTGTGACGTTTTGAGGGGTAATAACTGAATACCAAGACAACATTTACCACAATAAATGTACAACAGAACGCGTTCTCACGGGGAATTTGGTATGTAGTTTAAAAAATGAAAATGACAAAGACTCTGTAATGATGGTTTATCTATCTCATTTCAAACTTTGTGTTAAAGTGTTTGCGCACTTTACCTCAGGCGCGCGGTGCCCGTGCTCCCATCATCGTATTCAAATGTGTGGTTGGTGTAGCACGCGCCGCTCATCTTTTCGGACGGAAACGTCACTGCCACTTTATCTTCCTCATGAGCCAGAGCTTCAGGCATCGCGCGCTTTATGATTTAAAAAAAATCCGTTATCCAGTCAACGGCCAAACTGTCCACATCAAGTAGACGGATAAAAACTTTTTGAGGTAAAAGTATGCAAATAGCAAAGCCTAATATGAAAAATCAGCGGATCTGACATTCAATCAATCTTCACTTGAACTTTATGATTTTTAAAATAAAACCTGTGGCGCGTACCGGAGTCTCTCAACTTCTACACCAAATAACATTGAGAGGTAAGATCGTCGTGGCATTTTAAAGTGTCGGACACAGCGCCGTGTGCTGGACAGCCTTGAACAGCATCTTATTCATCATGAATTATAACTATTACTCTGTAAAAAGACATCTTTTTAGTTGCCAAGGCTACATCTATTCACAGTAACATAGCAACAGAGTTTTAGACTTCATTTCTTAGAAAAGGCAGACTACAGCATTGAATGATGTTTACCAGTATAAGGTTACCATGGTCATGGGAATTTTAAAATTGTGAGTCCCCCTGCCAGAAAAAAAGTCATCAAACTTCTATAGTTAAAATAATTTTACCTAAAATATTTATTTGACTAATAATTAATCTCTAAAAATAGGTCAAATTAATTTCTGAACACAAAAAGTACCAAGCAGTAGCCTACCATACTACCATATTTGTTTAATTACTTCGACATATGCAGGGTGATATGGACAGCGCCGTGTGCTGGACAGCCTTGAACAGCATCTTATTCATCATGAATTATAACTATTACTCTGTAAAAAGACATCTTTTTAGTTGCCAAGGCTACATCTATTCACAGTAACATAGCAACAGAGTTTTAGACTTCATTTCTTAGAAAAGGCAGACTACAGCATTGAATGATGTTTACCAGTATAAGGTTACCATGGTCATGGGAATTTTAAAATTGTGAGTCCCCCTGCCAGAAAAAAAGTCATCAAACTTCTATAGTTAAAATAATTTTACCTAAAATATTTATTTGACTAATAATGAATCTCTAAAAATAGGTCAAATTAATTTCTGAACACAAAAAGTACCAAACAGTAGCCTACCATACTACCATATTTGTTTAATTACACACTTGACATGTACCATGGTACCGAATGGTTACCATATTAATTTACCACTGTTGGAATGAAGTGATGTAAAACCAAATAACACAGTACAACAGCAGTACATTTTTGTGAGGGTCAAGAAATTAATTATACAGAATTTAATTTCACTTAATTTATTATCATGTATATCATCAATATACTTCAATCAATACATTTCACACAGCCTTAATCAAAGCCACATGTCCACCTGGATGCTTGGACTTCATACTGCCAAAATGTCTACAAAATGAGAAAATATAATGAAAAAGAAAATGTCAGAAATGAAGAGAAGTTGAGTATAAATCTTAAGTTAATAATGACAGAATTGTTGTTTTTGGTAGAGCTATTCCTTTCAACTGCTAATAAGAGCGAGAGCGTACCTCCATTTAACACGTTAACACCATATTTAAAGGGATAGTTCACCCAAAAATTTAAATTCTGTCATCAGTACTCACTCTCAAACTGCATGAGTTTCTTCTGAGGAACATAAAATATATTTTGAAGAATGTTGGCAACTAAACATTTGATGCTCCCCATTGACTTCCATAGTATGGGGAAAAAACCTACATGATTGTAAAGCGCTTTGTAAATGCATCATTCATTCATTCATTCATTCATTCATGTACCGAATGGTTACCATATTCATTTACCACTGTTGAAATGAAATGATCTAAAACCAAATAACACAGTACAACAGCAGTACATTTTTGTGAGGGTCAAGAAATTAATTATACAGAATTTCATTTCACTTAATTTATTATCATGTATATCATCAATATACTTCAATCAATACATTTCACACAGCCTTAATCAAAGCCACATGTCCACCTGGATGCTTGGACTTCATACTGCCAAAATGTCTACAAAATGAGAAAATATAATGAAAAAGAAAATGTCAGAGATGAAGAGAAGTTGAGTAATAATGTTAATAATGACAGAATTGTTGTTTTTGGTAGAGCTATTCCTTTCAACTGCTAATAAGAGCGAGAGCGTACCTCCATTTAACACGTTAACACCATATTTAAAGGGATAGTTCACCCAAAAATTAAAATTGTGTCATCGGTACTCACTCTCAAACTGCATGAGTTTCTTCTGAGGAACATAAAATATATTTTGAAGAATGTTGGCAACTAAACATTTGATGCTCCCTATTGACTTCCATAGTATGGGGAAAAAACCTACTATGGACGTCAATGGGGACAATCAACAGTCTTCAAAATATATTTTTTGTTCAGCGGAAGAAATTAATTTATAAAGGTTTGGAACAACTTGAAGGCGAGTAAATGATGACAAAATTTTTGGGTGAAATAACCATTTAAATCCATTCTGTGGATTTCCCCCACAATCAGTACTGGAAGATTGCACATTGGTAGACTTTGTAGGCTCGCATGATTGAGTCACTTTAAAATAATACACACCTCCAAGAGTTTGTCTCATGGTCATAAGCCTCCATGGTTTTAAGGTCACTTACACCGTCAAATCCTCCAATAGCCAATAGAAAGCCATTAAACAGCACTAAAGAGACCTGTGCATATTACACACAAACATTCTTACCACAAAGACCATAATTAAACCACTTCAGAATCATTTCAGAATCATATTCTTTGTAAAGGTTTGAAATGACAAGAGGGTGAGTTATCAATGGCAGAAAGACTACTATAGCTCTTATTCCCTCAAACCTGAAACCTCTTGTTGTTCATAGCCCTAACTGGGCTCCAGCGGAGAGTGTCTGGGTCGTATTTCTCCACGGTGCTCAATGACAGACCAAGTTCATCTCGTCCTCCAGCCACATACAGACAGCCAAGAAACATGACGCATGCTGAAGCTTCCCTCATGGTGGACATGGTTGGGCAGAGAGACCAGCATCCCTCAAATGGGTCAAAACGTTCCACTAGTGCAGAAGAATGAGTATTGAGATTTTTTATTTATTTCAAATCTACACATGTATATGTGTTTGTGTACCTGAATCCAGTGGCATGTCTCCATCTGTTCCTCCCACAATGTAAATCTGACCGTTCAGGATAGCGGCTGATGCAGATGCCCTGTTCCTCAGCATTGGTGTCAACTTAGACCAGGAGTTCTTCAACGGGTCATACCTACTCCACAGAAAACAAGTGTGTATGTGTTTGAGCTTCACATCTCCAGACATCAGTTTCTCTGTAATGTACAAGTGTGTTTAGACCTCTCTACTGTGTTAATGCAGGTCATGCCGTCAAAACCTCCCAGTGTAATGAGACATCCGTCCATTTCTAACACACAGACCCTTGACCGTGGCGAAGAAAGTGAGGGCACGTCCAAAGACCAGATGTTACACTCTGGATCGTACCTAACACACACAAACACATTCATTTAGCATTTTAAGGCATCATAGACAATAACGTTTTAAACAATAACTATTAGTACGCATTCTAGGATTAAGCTATTGGCCAAATACTAGGGCAGCACTGCATGCCTCCTTTTTGGAAAATGCAATTAAAATTATTTTAGCGACATTAATAACAGACTATTGAAATCAACTGTCAAATCTTTCATGCACTTAAGAAAAAGCACTATTTGAATGATGACAGAAGTTGATGTAAATGGCCACCTCTCCACTCTGCTCAAACAGGTGATGTCATCAGACCCGCCCACAGTATAAATGGCTCCGCCCAGAGCACACACCCCTGGGTCACTGCGGTGATGGAGCATGGGAGCAGTCATTTTCCACTCATTATACTGGGGGCAGAACTGCTCAACTGGACAGGATGGGTCATCTTTACTCCAGCCTCCAACTACACACAATTTATTAAAAACATACAACATACTGTATGCAAAGAGAAACAACTGAGATCTCTTTTGTGATTTCGTACTATACTATATATATACAGTATATATATTCCATTTACATTTATAGTTGCTAGTGGCAGCTGACCAAACTTTTTAAAATGTTTAAGCAGGTGTAGAAAAGTCTGAAAGTCATTGACAAAGAGATTGATATAAATACTGACCTACATATATCATGTCAAAGGGTTTTCCTTTGGACGAGACTTTATTCCTCGTGGAGTGGCTGTTGCTATGGCAGTGACCCTTGGTGCTGTGCAGGTTGGTACTATTTTTGATGACCAGGAGGTCCTCATTTTCTTTAAAGGGTCTGCTGAACATACACACACACATAAAAAAAGGAAATTCTAAAAAAGCATATCCAGACAGCACATACGCAAACTCATCACACTTAAAACACAGTGGGCAAACAACAAAACACCCATCTGTTCTGCTGTGAACAAGATGTACAGTAGATTACAACACTGATGATGGAGCAGAACATTGCAGCTTCTCTACTATTGCTTTCACAGGGACTTGAACAAACCCCCTAATCAAATCTCTAAGTAAACTTCAGCACATAGCTGAATCAAATTGTGCAGTTTGTTGAGAAGTTGTATGTTGACAGAACTTGGTTTTATATAAAAAAGGGGACAAATCCTACAGACTTACTGGGATCCAGTAAGTAATGTTTACTCACTGGTGAATGAGACATGAGGTAATCTGACAGCATTGCATTCAACCTTCCGCCATCTCTCATTATGTCGCTGGTTAGCCTCTGGTCTGACTCTGCCTGCGCACATTCATGTGTTTTGGAGGAGGCGTGGCTTTGGAGAGTGATTTGCAGGGAGGGTGGGATCTTATGCTTTCAAAGCTAGATTGCTATTGATAGCCTCTCTGAAAGCCCTCCATACAACACACAAAAACAAGCCCTACAAATTAATAACAGAATACATAGTATAGAGACATTTCATTATTCATGGTTTTCACATAATTTGATGATTTGTAGGTTACATAATTACACTTTCAAAAAAGCATTTGCAATTGGTTTGTAAAAGATGTTTATGAACTTCTGGGCTGAATTTTTAGCCCCGTTTCCACCGCAGGAACTTTACCCTGGAACTAGGGACTTTGGGCCGGTACTCAGTGTTTTTCCACTGCAGGAACCAGGATCTAAATAAAGTTCCGGGTAAAAAATTGCCCCTCGGAAAGTCCCTGCTTGTGAGGTAGTACTTTTTCAAAGGTCCGGAACTTTCGGGGACGGGACTTGGGCGCTAAACATGCTGATTGGTTGAGATCACGCAGCACTGTATTTCAACCACCATTTATTCAGATCATTTTCAAAATATTACTGATATTGTGTCATGAAATGTAGTTTAAAAGTATTTCAGGCGAGAATGTAGTTGTTTAAAACTCAAATCTGCAGTTTATTTATAAAGACAGCTCTTATTTAAAAATGTGTTTTCACCAATTTCGGAGAAATTATCTCCACGCGATCAGCGGGCACTCAGTGCTCATGTTTCCCGACAAGAGCAGCCTCAACTCGGCTAGTCCTTCTGACATTTGCCGCTGGCTCTGATGTCTCTTTAGTGGTTAAACATAAGATATAATTCGTTTTGGGTAAATCTAACAATTAATCCATTAATATGTTAAAATGAAAATAAAAAGAGGCAATACTGTTTGATATCATATTTTATCTTATTGTAAATACAGTGAGATCAATTTCAGTAGCCAAGGAGAGCTGACTGACGTTATCAAGTAGGCCTACACTGCTCGTTACAGAATTACCGGACTTGCGTCGTCCCGTCCGCAGGAGTTCACACTCCTGAGTCGAACTTGCAAAGTCCAAACTACCGAGGATGCAAGTCCGAAATTTGCATACTTGGTATTGAGAAACGCGTGCAGACCTACGTCACCGGACTATTTGCCTATTCTTCACGGTACTTTAGACCGCGATGGAAACGCAGACAGCAACAGGTCTGGGGGATAAAAAGTTCCTGAGACACATTGTTCCAGGTAATTTTGGTGGAAAAGCGGCTTTTCTTGCATTTACACATTTAAATAAAAATAATTTTCAGTCTTACACAACCATGTCGGGTCCAAACTATATTTCTCAATGAGAGCAGACCTTTACCGATCAATCTTTTCTGATATACACCGGCACAGTTGTGAGTCACACATGTGGGTGTAAGCCGAATGCCCTTGACTCTGTCTGCTTTCACTGCTCATTCTTTTCTGGTGTTCTGCTCTCGCTCTTTCTTCAGAGACGTTTCTGTGCGGTTTACAGTGCTATGTTTGGTAAGTGCAGTGTTTCAGCATGACAACAGCACAGAGGATGGGGGTTGTGTGTGTCAGGGGTCAGGGGTCGCCTCAATGAAATATATCACGTCTTGTCAACAAACATTGCACCACATCGCACACGTCTGCAGTGTGCACAGAATGCAGTCTTCACGCACACAGAAACTGACAAGAGGAAATAATTGCACTGACAATCAAAACACAATCAAGCTGCGACAACTAGACACTCCTGTCACCCTGAGAAGCGACTGCACTGTCATATAACTTAATACCATGAAACCTCGAGTGCTAAGCCGGTCACCAATTCACCATACTGTTTCCCTATGCCGATAATGAAATCATCACCCTGGCAACCAGTGCTGTTACCATGACAACCCAGAGCCGAAGCGGTTTCACAACCAGTCATCACAGGTTTCTGGCAGATATCACACTCAACCGATGACTTTTAAAACTCATAATTATCAGAGACAAAGACTGACAGAAATGGGAATGCCCTATGGAGTGTGATTGAAAGGCTGCTGTAACTAGTCATAAAATCCCACAATCCTTTTGCCACTGAGGCACTTGTTCTCGAATATCCTGATCACTAAATCTCTCTTCATCAGAAGAAAACAATATAACTAAGTATCATTTATTTAACTACAGTCTACTGACTTTTTAGTCTTTCATATCTAAACCTTTATAAATATTCAGGAAACTATAGAAGCTTGTTTCCCCAGAGGTGGACAGTAGTGAAGTATTTTTACTTTACTCAAGTAAATTAAAAAAGTAGCTGTACTTTATCAGAGGGTTTTTCTTTGGAAAACTTTTACATCACTACATTCCAAAGCACAATGTCGTACTTTTTACTGCACTTCTTTTCATAAATAAAAGTTGTTGTTTTTTACTGTTAGTACTTAAGAATTTAGTACTTTCTTGTACTCAAGTAAAACTTTTACTTGAGGAAAAAATAAGAAAGTATTAGATTTGTAATGTAAATAATTAATAAATGATATTTATTATGAAACGTAGTGCAGTAAAAAGTACAATATTATGCTTTGGATTGTTGTGAAGTAAAAGTTTTCAATAGAAAAACACTCTTATTAAGTACATACACTTTAAAAATTTACTTATAAAGCAGAGTAAAATTGCTTCACTACTGTCTGCCAATCCACTAAGCAGTAAACAAAAATAAAAAGGTAAATGCAATTTCTTATTTCATAATTCAGATTTTTCTCTTAGAGTAGTCTCACAACTACAAGTTACAGACTCGCATTAAGGCTTTTCTTCTCAGAATTGCAAGAAAAAAGTCTGAATTGTAAGATATAAACTCAGAATTGTTAGTATGAATTGTGAGAATTTTTTTTTTTATAACAGCAAAACAAATTGCAAGTTAAAGTCAAAACTGAAAAATTGCGCAAAGAAGTATGAATTGTCAGATAAAAATTCAAAATTATAAGAAAAAAAATCAAAACTGCAAAACATTGTGAATTGTGAATTAAAAAGTAAAAAAAAAAAAAAAAGTCATAAACCTTTCTATTTTTTTTTTTTAATCCATGGTTGAAGTAAGCTTAGGAAATGATTTCCAAAAGAACAAGCTTCCATTCATGCATGACAATAGTCTTAAAAGCACCTTAATTAGCAAATAACATTTTAATCAATATTTTGTGCTTTGCATTCAGATTTTTTTGCATTCTTTTGCAATATAATCACTTAAAGTTTGTTTTTCCATAGCAGAATTACTCATGCTTGTCGGGGGTGATCGTAAAGAAACTGTACCATATGGTCAAGAAATATGATGTGAGAAAGTGCAAACCATTATTTTTGTACTCGGGGAGAAAAGGTCACAGTGTAACAAAGTGCAGGGACAAAGACACTTTTTAACAACTGCATGGATTTTGAAAGCGCACTATTTTATTTTTAACAACAGCAAAATGTACAAATAATAAACTTTTTATTCAATATAACCTAATTAAATGTAATGATTTTACACTTGTTTAAAATTATTTAATTGCATTGCTCACTAATAAGAGTAAATCTAGTACAGTATAATGTGACTAATTTCAGTAAAAAAAAAAAAAATTATATCAGTAGCAAGTCATAAGAATGCACTTGGCATGCAAATGGGACTGCTTCCTGTGGTAATGGCAATGTGCCTTCATGAAATGATTAACATCAGCCACAATTACTGCTAACAATCCTCCTGATACATCTAAACCACACAAACCTTAAAAAAATGAGAGCCCTGCAGAGTCACACTTTCTCATTTGAATCCATAGAACATAAAAGGACTGTTTGAGACTGTTTCCAATGCATTATACTTATGTTTTTCACTAGAATCTTTTTCATATATGTCTTTCTGTCATGAATGTACTCACTTCTCTGATGTCATTATGTGGCTCTTTTCCTGCTGTCAAACTGTGTGCCACTGATTGTCTTTATTCTCTTGTTCTCTGCAGTACATCATGTACGAGACAGAGCCTCACTCATCTTGAGGTATATTTGTGTGTGTGACTGACAGAGGGGGGATTGTTTGTGTGATATGTAGGTATGCACTGCAGGTTAGTGCTGACAGTGAATGATGCACATGTAAATGTTATCGTAGAGGAGGGAAAATAGCTCTTCTTCTGACATGTGAATGATCACACACACACGTCTTTCATTCTTACAGAAGACAAATGTTCACACTAGGAACAAACCATAACACACTCACTGTCACACAAACACATAAATTACATCACACGCTTTATGACAGGCCTAGTCTTTATTTTTACATGGTGCTCTGGAACAGTGTTATTTTGGTGACACTGGTATACTACTATAGTTTTTGAATTAATGTTTTCATGTAAATTTTAGTTTAGTTGTAGTTATTCTGTTGTTTTTTTTTATGATTAATTTTCATTATTTCCCTGGTTGTAAAAAAGGGAAATAAACCCCCCCCAAAAAAACATGTTAAAAACAACATGATTTTGTTGCGTTTATGTTAGGCTGTTTCCTCTAAAAAGCTGTTTATTTAAGCATCTCCTCCATTGACATCCATTAAAAAAAAAACGGCATCTGGTCTCATTTCCATCATTTCCATTAGCCGTTATGCTATTTTGGCTAAAGGTTGCAGGCTTGCCTTCTTGTGGCTTTGGTACGGCTATTCACTGTAATTACGACAGTTATATATTTACCACAGTGAATTCCACTCACTTACTGCAAGCAAAAATAGACCAAACTGCATGCAGTTGTTTTAACTAATGTCAACTTTGTTAACAGACACAACTTTTGATTTGAAAATGTATTTGTAAATGTAAATATAAAATTGTACAACTTTTGATTTGAAATGTATTACTGAATGTAAAAATTAACATGAACAAAGATTAATAAATGCAGCTGAAGCATTGTTTTTGTTAGTTCATGCATGTTAACTGATGTAGGTAAATAATGATAATAATTAAACCTTATTGTAAAATGCAAGCACGAAAGCACACTTTTCAGAAAATCCACTGGTAATACTATAAACAAATCTACTATATAGTCCCAATAGTATGTAAAATGGCATTTATTTTGTATATCTGAAATTTCTGCGACTCATTACTTTAAAATGTTCTTAGATCAGAACATAACGGTAGTTATGATATGGGCAGAGGGAAATATAAGCAGTCTAGGAACAGCCTGTGTGTGAGTTGCTCTTGAGTAATGTATCCTGACATCTTCCATTATTACTGTAGATGAAGCTGGACATCTTTGCCCAGTGGAGACGGAGCTGTGTTAGGTTACCATTACTTGCCCGGTGTCAGCTTACTGCAGAAACAACGTCCAGGTGAGCAGCACGCACTGGTTCATGCGCCAGAAAACTGAAAAGGAATTCAAACTGATTTAGAAAGAAAGAAGGAAAGAAAGAATGACAGCCTAAAGGGACATCATGAAGGTATAAGTAAATATTTGTCCTCAGTTTCTATCATCCATCCTCTCCATTAATGCTAATGTCCTATTGTAGAATATTCTGGGGCCAGTTGCATTAACATAGTCACCATGTTAAGACTTTGTCTTAAGAACTAGTTTGACTAACTAGCCTTAATTTTCAGGATTTAAATTAGACCAATATACATTTTTATGTAACTGGTTTAAAAAAGTTATTACCAGTCTTGCAGAAACAAGTTAGGTGACTAACTTTTAAGACTAATCAGTTTATGCATCTGGCCCCTGTCTTTATATCCAGCTTATGTTGTGTTTTGGATAGGTGGTTAACTGCTTAACTAGCAGAACCAGCAAGACTTCCTTGGTCTACAACATTAGAAATCATGCTGATTAACCTACTAGATTTTCCTTGCCAATGCTGGTTCGCCAGCTAAGCACAAAACCAGAATAAACCGTTTTCATGCTGCATGGTCCTTTTAGTAGAGATTTATCAGTATGTGTGTTTGATTTGGAGAAAAAAAGAAGTTAACATTGCAACTGACTGTATCAGTGATGGTCATACTTTTTAGTGGCAACTAATAATAAAGATAAACACTTTTTGTTAAATGAAAATAAAAACTTATGTAATTGGAAGAATGAAAATATTTTTTAACCTTAAAAGTAACTAAAATAAAATAAAAATTATGTTTATAAATTTATGAACATTAAAGGCAGAGTAAGTGATTTCTGGTAGCCAATGTTGATATTTGAAATCACCAAAACAAACACGCCCCTACCCCAAAAGGGTCTTGCCCCTATTTTGATAGCTCCGCCCCACATATACGTACGCAACCCAGGCAACGATTAGTTCTGTGAAACAAAGCAAAACCAATGTTACACCGTGTCTACAGACGTGAGCGGCACAACAAA